TGTGTGTGTGTGGGTGTGGGTGTGTGCACTCTCTCCCCAGTGGAGCTGAAAGAGCACCTGCAGAGCTTTGTTGACGAGACCAACACGCAGCACGGCCCAGATTTCATCAAGGTGGTCCACCACGACAAGCAGGAGGGACTCATCCGGTCCAGAGTCCGAGGCTGGAGAGCCGCCTCCGCCCCCGTGGTCGCTTTGTTCGACGCACACGTGGAGTTCAACATCGGATGGTGAGCAGACACTTTGTGTTCTCAGTTCCAAATGAGCCAGTGAGGTCTTCCCTGATCTATACAGGAGCGGAACATTCGCAGAATAATAAGAAGGAGCGGGAGATTGTTTGGGTCGGAGACGTTCAAGACAACAGGAACATGCGGGGAACATTCAGGCGGGGGGTGGAGCCTGTTGAGCAGCAGGGGGCGGGACATGACATATGTTTGCTGCACGAGAGAATCTGACTCAGCCGCTATGTTTATTTAACAACAGTACTGGAAGCATTTGGAGTCGTCTATGTGTTTGAGATATTTGTGTTCTTCCAGACACGTCATCATGTGGATTTTCTGGAAATGTTCCTGCTGCCACGTTGAGTCACTCAGACATTTTACCAGGAGGCTGCAGAAAAGGTTCCAGATAAAGTCCGGTGCAGCAGACGCTGATGTTTCCGTCCTCACACACAGTCCCTCCAGAACATTTGTGTTCAGGTCTGAAAGCAGCTTTAGTGTTTCGAACATTTCAGTTTCAGCTGTTCTCACATCACGGCTCTATTTTTAGGAGACAGATTGAAAACAGGGTCTCCTCCATGCAACCCTGTGAAGCTCTGACAGACGAAGTGTTGAGTGCTTTTCTGTGGACTTTGTTTCTTTGTTCATTAGACTCTGGATCTGAGTATTAATCCAGGGAGAGTCTGATTTTCTCACCTGCAATCAGTACAGATGTGATTAAACCAGACACCAAAATGTAATTTTGGCAAATAGAGAGGATCTACGACTCAATTAGGAGTCCAATGAAAGCTGCGGACGGCTGCAGGAGAATTTCACATTAATTATTCTCTGTCCTTTGTAGCTGTATCCAACTCTGACTTTCTGTCCTGGTGCTGCGACAATGAAGCGAGAGAAGAGAAGTGAGTGAAGAATGAAATGCAGAATTTCGGCCTTCAAAGCTGGCAGATTCAATTTCCTTGATAAAACAGTTTCTCAGGCAAAGCGGCAGAAACGAACTTTGAATGACAAGAAACAATCTATTTATAAACTGGTGCATGATGGGATTATTCTGTTTTTCCTCCCTCGTTTCTCGTACTGTTGAGGAACGGTGTCGCTGTAACCAGACAGGTGCAAACCTCAGCCGCGACATGTTTATTAGTATTGTGGGTCAGTGAGTGAGTCGGTTGTGAGAGCAGCTGGCAAACAAGTGATTTATATTCAGGCTGTGTTCATATCAAAGAGAAGCGGAGGTGTTGGGGATGTTGAGTCGAGGAGTGGAGGTTGTTGTGGTCCAGAAAAAAACCTAATTAAACCTCTGGTTCATTCTCTTTGACTGTGAGACAACCTGTGTCCAGGTGTTGGCGGAGACATCAGGACTTTTCCAGAACATGCGAGAATTAGAATTAGAATCTTTTCATCTGAGTTGCTGCAGATGAGAGATGTGAAGCAGCTTCACGAATGATGAACGTGAGGAGGCTACTTCTCCGAACCACACAGAATACAGAAGAGCTCAGTACAGTACACAGTACACAGTACACAGTACACAGTACACGAACGCACCCAAATCCCTCCTGAGATCAGATCGGTTACACCACATTGGTGTGGGACGCCTGTTGTAAATTGGTCTTCGCAGACACACATGACTTGATTCTACGTTATTATTCGGACGCACAGGAAGGAAGTGACATCTGAGATGCATTTTAATACCTGGAGTGAACGTGTTAATCTCAGGATGGACGTTGATAACAGGTCTGAACAGGGTTTAACTGCAGTGTCGATGAGGCAGCTTGACAACACAGAACTCCTCCACAGTAAAAGGACAGATGAAGGTCGACCGAACAATAGTTTTATGGTTCGAAGAGTTTGAAGAGACTTTTTAATTTATCTACAAGAAGAAGCCTGGTGTGGTTTTTGATTTTTGAGTCTTGAATAAAGTGTTTTTTATGACTCCGCAGGATCATCACAGGAAAAACCTTGTCCTTGATGTTTTCCGTATTTCAAACTGCTCCGTGATGAAGGAGAGAGAGACTGAAGATGATTCAGGGCCTGGAGTCAGAGTTAGATTCTGACACATGGTGTCTTCAGTGAAAACATGTAACGTCCTGTTTGTGCATTATCGACCTCCTGCACACGACTCGTCCTGTTACTCCTGGTTCACTTCACCATCACACACCTGTGACCTGACTCCTGTCCCTGCCTCTTGCTGTGGCTCTAGAAGTTTTAACATAATCAGAACCTCGTAAATATCTGCATTGTCTAACGAACTAAAAGACGCCGGCAGATGACGCATCGGGGACTCCCTCTGCTCCACAGTCGCCTGCAGTCGGATCTGCAGACGAACCGTCTTAAAGGAAAGACCCAGATTCTTGTTTGATCGGAGGTGGCAGGCAAATCTGTGATGAGATCTTCAGAGACGCTGCAGAGCTCCGGGAGTTTCTGGCAGAAAGAGCCGACTGATTCGGCGCAAATTAAAGTCATGAGATGTTTCGAGCTTTTTAGAGGCGACAAAGGAGTGAACACAACAGACAGAGGAGGGGGACTTGTATTTTGAAGGAGACGCACTCAGGACGACCTCTGTACCTAAAGATAGATATGCCTGTCGACGAGCTGATTTATAAATAACAGCACAAATGACAGATTGTAGGTAGAACTCCTCGTACTGGAGGACGGTTGTGGTGTAAGTGTAGCACGGCTGCGCACAACCGCATTTCCCAAAATGTGGGAAAGCGACACATGACCAGAGTTTATCTTTTATTTAGATTAACTTGGTTTCAAAATGAATTGATTGGATTTTAGATCATAAGTAAAAAGTCACAGCGAAATGATAGATATGGAGAAACGTCTCTGTCTGACGGAAACGTGGAGATTCAGGGTCTCCTCTGTTTTCAATGCCGGCACTTTATGTTTAGATGATCCTGTTTGTGCAATCTGTTGCATTCATTTACATTCTAATGAGGAACATTTCCATTTATTTGAAATGACTCTCACCTCTAACCTTTAAAGAAATGGAACTAACACCAACTTTGCGTTCCGTCAAGTCAAGCATGTTGACACGCAGCGGAAATATTTCCTAATGAACCCATTAAATAGTGTAAGTAATGGGAGTAGTGCTTAATTACTGACCTCATTAGAAAAGCCGGGCTTGTTTAATCCATCACAGCGATGAAGCAGCTGCGGCTCCTAACACGTTATCCTCCGCACCCCATTAACTTCTCTGACAGAAATCAAGTGCTGTTGTCTTTTTAAAGAAAACTTCAATGTCAGTGTGTTTGAGCTGTGGGCACTTCATCTCCTCAAGGTCTGCTGCTGGAACTCTCGGATACAACAGCAGGGATGTTTATCAGTTAATCATTTTGACAGGCTGCAAAATATCACGCACACACACACACACACACACACACACACACCACGCATCCGTCTTCTCATGTGCATCTGTTTATCACACAGTGAGCGTGTCTCCTGCGTGTCTCCTGCGTGTCTGTTGCGTGTCTGTTCCGTGTCTTCCATGTGGATTTCTTGTGTGTCTTCTATCCTCAAATAAAAGTTTGGCTTTTCACTCAACTACATAAACGAAGCCGTGCGTCTTCCCGTCCTGCAGTAACGATGAAATCCTTCACCATGACGCCTGGGCTGGAATCCAGAATAACATTTGTTGCTGCTGTGTTCCAGAATAAACGCGAAACATTTACAAGGTTCTTCACCCCTCTACTCCTCCACCCACTCTCTACTCTCTCTCTCTCTCACTCACACCTCCCACATATTGCCACAGAGGCGGCGTTCATCTATGACTAATGGAATCATTTGCCGATAGAGAAGAACTCAGCTGGAGGTTAACGTTATATATTTTGTCCACTTTCTCTTTAACTGCTCACATTTCAATCGGAGTTTCTTTTTTCTATCAGGTGATAAGTGCCGTGATTAGCTCCCTCTGTCACATACTTGATTTCACACCCTCTAATCAAAAGCAGTGGATAACCCACATACCTCTCAATCCCCTTCTCTCGTTCTTTTCTTCTCCCCTTTTCCTTTGTCTTCCTGCACAAACACCTTCCTCTTAATCCCTCTCGCTCCTTCCTGTGCTCTGAATCCCGCCCACCCTGTCGCACATTACACATATAAACATGTATATATTCTGTTCCACGTAGAGAAATCGCTGTATAATTTCCAACGACGCACCGACTTCTAAATCTGCATAATTGTGCATCGCACTTATCTGCAACGCCGGCTATTTTGAAACACAAGCAATTATAGACCGTTTTATGTTACAGTGATTCTCTGACTGTATAATCACAATAATCCTCCTCAGCTCCTGTGCATGTGCCGGACCAGTCATCATCCACATGTACACGAAGAACATCAAAAGACAAAGTAATTACATGTGTGCACAAGTCAGTGGGGGGGGGGAGCCACAACAACACAAGTAGAAAAGCCAAAACGCAAATCTGAGCCTCGTCTATTTGAGGTGTTACGGTGCAGGTGTTGTTCTTCCTGCACGCTGAGCACCCGTACCGTAACACCTCAAATAGACGAGCATCAAACTTTAAACGGCTCTCGACCGCACTGAGTATCTCCGCTCGTTTCATCGTCGACATCTGTCGCTCGATAAAACACTCAAACACCTGGAATCATCTCATTACCAGAAAGTGAAAGAGTCGATTCTTGTGTTTCATGAGGTTACGATGACGCAATTTATCGGGTTAAAGTTTTAATGTGTTTTAAATTAAGATTTAAAGTCAGTGTAACTTTGATGTGACTTAGAAAAATAAGTTCCATTGACTAAATAATAAATGACAAATGTTTTTGTGGCGTCTGCTCGTGTTGATTGATGGTGACTGTGCCACAGACAGGAAGTCAAACTTTGATGGTCGTCCACTTTCAGCGCGTTGACTTCCTCCTCGGTCTAATCGAATATCTTTCCCCCGAAACGTCTTAGTATTCAGCTGCGAGGGGGAAAAAAAAACTTTATTCTAGGTCGATATGAAGTGTGAGAAAACTTCACCTCGGCTGACGCAGCCTGCTTTGATGTGGAAAGCTCACTAATTGGTTTCCTACCTGATTTTTCTCCCCCACTAACTAGATTCGGAGGCTTCCTGTGTGTTTTTACGAGTTCCAATGTTAATGCGTGTGAAGAAGAGAGGAAAGTGAGACGAGGTTTATCGGCTAACGAACAATCAGTGTGCAGAATAAAAGAGTCCCTCCTGCTCTCTGATGCTCAGGTTTTATTATCGTGCACCTCCGCAGGGCTGAACTAATAAAACACGAATGGGTTGTGAGGCAAGGTTCCTCGTTTGCGTTGAGTCAGTCGCGGGTAGTTTGCATTTAAACGGCAGCCGTCGGCGGTTTGTCCCACGAGGCGGCTGGATGTTATTTTTCTCTCTCCAGACCAGCAGCTGCAGGTTGAAGCGGATAAGTAGTTGTTTCCTGCGCTTTTTTTTTTATGAGCTTCATCGACCACACGTGGGATTATTCTTATTACAGAAACGTCCACTGGATCTTGACCCTGAGGAAGGACTGGGTTCAGTTTGTAATCCAGGATCTCGTTCCTTTACCTCCTTTACTTCCCTTCCTGTTCAATTTAAAACCCTGGGAATAGTTTACAAGGCCGAGATCTGTCCAGGACCCTCACTCTGATTCTGTCAGTCACTGATTCAGCTCCATCCTCACTGCTGGATTGACTTTGTTAATCCAGTCAGGGTTGAGGATTAAATCCTCATTTCTCGTCCTCCTTTCATCACTTCTTTTTGCTTCTGGTTTAGATGAAGGAATTTAATCTCAACCGACTGTTATATCAGAGGTTGTAAAAGTTATTGTTGCATTAAAGTTAATTGACTTTCGGCCACTGTGGAGTAAAACAAAACATCGTAACTAACGAACAGATTCACTTCCTGAAGTAATTTTCTCTCATCCAGCAGAACAACAGTGTTCATCTCTTCTGTCTGTTCGCAGGATTGTGCAAAAAATCTGGGACGGATTAACACATCCAGGATCCAGGGTTTTTTTCTTTCATCATGTTTATCAACATGTTTAATTTCCCAGATAATAACTCCCGGTTAGAGGATTGATTTTTATTCGAGGGAGCAGTTTGGTGCAGCTTGATTGAATTTAAGAGATGAGAAGAATCAAGTGTTTAATCTCTCCACCTGCAGGTCGGTGTTTCTGTGCTCAAGCTTTTCTTCTCTTTCACTTAATGCATGTGTCTGCTGCTGGAAACAGAACAGACAGACTCGGGGTTCGACTCATCCCGACTCAAACATGCTGCTTCCACAAAGACTCAAAATGCCTCCAGGTCCAGGACAAATGAGAAACAGCTAAAACGCACTGATGCACGTTTTCTAACATGTGGGATCAACAACCTGAGCGGCTGTAACTTCAGTCACGATGATCCACAGACACAATAAACGAATTGTTTTATTATGGACGTGTATGAATATCACTGCCCGAACGCTGTGGGCTGTTTTTTACTCATTTTGCTTTGAACGTTTACAAAAACAAAAACTACTACTACTGCTAAACAGTTGCCATGGTTACATTAACATACCACCATCCGTGTTCAGATGTGCTCTGGGTAATTTTTCCTTCTGCTGTAATCAATGTCATGTATGTGAACCTCAGTAAATCTACAGTTTAAATCACATGAGGAAAACCAGTCTCCTCCAGCAGCAGATTTTAATTGACAGTTGCTCGTCAGAGTGATGTTGAACAGATGTGTTGCTAAGGAACAAGGCAAGTTTAGTATTTTTAAAAAATAAGTATTGTTGTGCTGAGGAACAGTTTCCACCATCTAATTCAAACTGCAAACTACAAGGTGACTGTTGTTTATTGAGATTTTCTTTAAGCTGTATTATTTAGATTAAAAGTTTTCACAGGGTTTAACAACAGGAAGTGATGTGAGAATCATTCACAGTGATGACGACCAGGTTTCTGTAGCTTCATACAGATTTTTTAGAAATATGTGGTGATGCGTTTAGAAATGTTCGTTTGAAATTGAAATTTGAAATTCAAGCTACAAATGAGATTTTTCAAAAACCAAACGACCGTGACGTTCACATGTTGTCTCTGTGTTTAAGATTTTTGTTTGTATGTTATAATGATAATTATTCAAACTCATCCCATCCTCTCTGTCGTCCTGCAGGGCTGAACCCATCCTGCAGCGGATCAAGGAGGACCGGACCCGGGTGGTTTCTCCCTCATTCGACAACATCAAGTACGACACCTTCGAGATCGAGGAATACCCGCTGTCCGCTCAGGGCTTCGACTGGGAGCTGTGGTGTCGATACCTCAACCCGCCAAAGTCCTGGTGGACGCAACGCAACCACACGGCCCCGATCAGGTGAACGCAGGGAGGAGTGGGAGGGTTTTATTAAAATAAATAAAAGTAAATAAAAAGGTTTTTCTCCGATATTACATCACATGTATTTGCTGCGGAGCAACGAGAGAAAAAATTTGTCAACTCGCCGATGAAAGAGGTTGTTGTGGTTCACGGAGAGAAAATCAATGATGCAGATTTGTACAAACGTTGCTCAATACTGAACCAGAGGAAGATGAATTGCCCCAATTATTTTTTCTTTCTCTTAAATCTTATTTTGTCAAGTGTAATTAGTCACTGGATGTGTTCACTCGTTACCCCCCCGCAGAGAGGTGTCAGCGTCTAATGACCCGACGGCTTTCTGTTAAAAGACTGACTCACTTCTGATGTACTGTTCATTTTATTTATTATCTAAGTTAAATCTTCATATTTAAGTGAGTTTATCACGGCCTCAGTTTATGCCTCATTTTTATTAATTTGATTATTTAGAAATTGAGTCCTGTACTTTTGGTCTTTAGTCCTTTTTGATCCACAGATATTTCAAAAACTGAACTATGCAAAATGTCAAGTTCTGACTTTTAAAAGCTTCTCGTTGTTTTTCATATATTCGTGGAAATATCTTTGAAATGTAGTTTTTCGGACCACAGTTTCTTTGACCTTGACCTTTGACCGATCAGCTCTAAAAGTGAATAACCTGGAGATACTGCGTCGCACAATGTTCACACCAATTGTGATGAAAATCTGTGCATGTGTTGTTGAGTTATTTTGTACACATCCTGACACCTTTGAGCCTGAACAGTGAGAACTACGTAACTGTGATGTTTGAGGTGTGAACTGGGATTTGAAGCTGCAGTCATCTGGAGGCTGTAGAGATTCTGTAGAGATCCTGTAGAGACGGTGGTTGATAGTTTTTGTTTCTGGCTGTTTGAGAGAGAAATTCATCTTTGCTCTCTCCCCTGGATTTCCTCCACATGTCCTGGATGTGTTGTGTTGTGTGAGGCTGCATTTTGACAGCAGGATCATTTGTAAGTATAATGCACACTGCAGGGCTTTCATGAAAGTCTAATGCATATGTTTACAGCATCAAATGTGCAGCACACTTGAAAAATAGGTCTCAGGGCCTTGTTCCGCAGTGTGGGGCTAATTGCGGGTTAGAACTCTGCTCGTGTTTGTGTTTGTCTCGAACATTGTTTTGCATTTAAACTCTCGAGATACTTTGCATCTTGTTCCATACAAAACATTTTCCCTCTGCTATTTTAGGAGCCCCGCTCTGATTGGCTGCTTCGTGGTGGACAGGAAGTACTTTGAGGAGATCGGCCTGCTCGATGAAGGCATGGAAATTTACGGCGGAGAAAACGTGGAGCTCGGCATCAGGGTGAGTTGGCGTGAGAGACTATCTGCAGCAACCTCATGCAAACATTTCCACATATTCCTGCCCCCCAGCATGCACTGCTTCATGTTGTGGAAATGCACGTGTGCTCTGTGTGGTGCGCGTCCTGTGAAGCTCAAACTGAAATAAACTGAATAGCAGCAGAGAAGAAGAATGACCTTTACTTTTTACTCATGAAGTCTGACTGAGCAGATTACTAATGTGTGACAAACACCAGACAACACTGTAAGTTAATTTAATTATTATGTTATAATGACTCTATTTGGTCTATTTCTTCAATTATGTCTTTCAATATTGAGCAAAAAAAAAAGGTTTTGATATAATCAAGTAGAGAAATATAAAGACAGGAACTTTAAGTAAATGATTAAAAGTGAAAAAACAGATAACAAATGGATCAACAAAGTAAAAAAAAATATATAAAAGAAACACACACAATATGAAAATATGTCCAGAAGGAGATGTAGCTGTGATTAAACGGCCGGTGTCTCTGCAGAAGCTCCGTCCTCACGGGACAGATTTGCAGCCTCAACCGCTGGAACAGCTTCAAGACTCGACAGACGCTGGAGACAGCCGAGAGAAAGTGTTGACTCGGGCTCAGCGCGGAGTGATTTACTGACGCGCAGGTTCGATGATGAGCCCGGGTCTGGCTGATGCTGACGTGAGCCGCTGGGTGCAGAACTCATCACAACTTAAAGAATGCACGATTCTCTCAGGCTCGAGCACGTCGGGCTCAGATTTAGTGGACAGCTGTGAACGATCGATGATGGCGCAGCTTAAAGAGGAGATTGATGGGTTATTGTTGTTGTGAGGCCTCTGTGATGCAGCCACACTGTCATTATCTCTCACTCCAGTTGTGAGGTGTTGACAGCTGGGGCCGCCTCCAGCTTTTTCCCTTTATCCCTTTAGTCTCACCATTTCCAAAATCAACAAAGTGCAGACAAACACGAGGGAGATGTTCATAGAGCCAAAGACGACAGAAGAGTGAATGTTGCATTGAACTCAGATGGATCTTTACCACGGAGGCAAGAACTTGAAGGTGCTCTTCAAGAACTTCGAGTCTCTGGTCACACACCAGGCTGTCGTCCGGTCCATCGATTGGTCCAGAAAACTTAACACGCATTATGTATTTGACGCAGACGCCCCAGCAAGAGAGGATCTGTATCTGCAGATCATTATTAATGATCCATCTGTTGGAACCTTTGTTGCTCGGGGATTGAAGGACACATTTGGAGGAGGGACATGTGGAGGGAGTGTGTGTCCGTCTGCAGTGAAGGGTTAATGACCAGCGTCTCTGCAGGAGCCTCAGCTCAGACTCACACTGTGAATGATGGTGCACTAAATATTCTCTTTGAAATGGCTTTCACCTCAAATCATAAACATTATGTGATGTCATGAATATAAATCACAGAATCTGCCGAAGGCTCAAATCGTCCTGTTGTTTCTGCACATTTCGGGTCAGTGGCGGAGAAACGTGTCTTTTCTCTGACTCGTAAAAAAAGAGTGTGTGCGTGACTCGGCCTTGACTTTCTCCACGTGACGCCCGAATTAACCTCCACAGTCAAACGTTACAAGGCCGATAATGGATTTCTCCTGAGCCCCTGGCTGCTGTGGTGGCTCTGCAGCATTCAGAGAAGTTACTCTCTATTATCCAGCTGTTTGCTTCCACTGCAGCTTCCAGTGCAGAGACAAATTGCTCGAACACCTTTTGACTTTATCGCAGCAGAGTCAAAAGCAGCCGGGCCGCAGACAGCCGGTCGGCAGGAGATCGTGCGACCCTGATGTTTTTCTGACCCACTTCTTCACGTTGCACTTCAGCCCCCCCACCCCCCCACCCCCCCACAGCCAGGACGACAAACGCTGAACTGAAATGAATCTGTTTCAGCCGAGAGGAGCGTCAGAGCCGCGGTTGGGCCTCGAAATTCGCACATCAGGGGTTGGTCTCCTTCAGCTGGACATGTTTTCCTCTTTCTAAATATCAGCCTGTGCGATTTCTTTTTGAAAGGTTGAAAAGTAAAAATAAAAGTTTTACACGACGAAGCACGACAACAAAGACGTAACGTGTAAACTCTGCTGCGGAGATCACGTGATTCGTTTACTCTAACCGCTGCAGACGCTCCGCAGGATCGAGTCCTGAGACATCGTCCCATAAACACGTGATCATTGTCAGGTTTATTTCTCGCCACATTAACTAGAAGCACACGATGAGTAAAAGTCAATATTTCCACTCACCTGCAGTCTCCTCTGTAAAACCCTTTATTTCAGATCAATGATTATGTAAATCAGCAGCGATTCTTTGACAGCATCAGTTCCGCACATGTCTCGAGGGCGCTGCTCTTCCTCTACCTCGTTCTTCATGTGAGTTCAGCGTGAAGTTTAAGTCGGAAAACAGTCTCTCTCTCTCTCTCTCTCTATTTCCGTCACACCAAACACAGCCGCCTTTTGTTATCAGCCATGTTTTTTTTTTTCTGTGCTGCATATCTCTGGCCTGCACACTCGTCTTGTGATAGAGCTCGCCTCATGTAGAATGATATTCTGCATATTTAATGCTCATTGTCTCGTGCCGGTCATCCCCGGCTCGATTCATAATTCACAACTTCATTTGTTGTCGCCGCGCGTTTCTTTTCTCGTTAAAACTTTAAAAGAGGCGAAGATTTGTTCCACGTTAGAGCGACGATAATGAGGAATGTAAATGGACACACACACACACACACACACACACACACACACACACACACACACACAAGCATCTGCAACTTCTCACAATTGCAGTGACGTTCCGTGATGTCTGCTCGGTTACAGTTGACCACACGACCAACATGACCCTGATTTGTCTCCTGGGAGACGGATTTTTATTTAAAGAAAAGAGAGGATGAGTCAGGAAGACTGAGAGAAGCCCTTCTTCTCTCCCCCCGTGTTTCACTTCCTTTATCTTCTCCCTGTTCTTCCCACTTTATCTCTATTCTCCTTTATCCCTTTACCTTCCCTGCTCCATGTTTCTTCCTAAATCTCTCCTCTTTGTCTTCCTTCTTCCACTGTCCGCATTTTTTCTCGGCTCGCTCTCTATCTCGCTCTGCACACCCACACGCTCAGACAAAGATTGTTATACTCGAAGAAAAGCTCCCTCTACTATAACCCCGTGTTGTAAATCCTTTATGGAGAACGCTGAGGTATTTCTGAGGGAGGCATGTATTATCCAAGGTTTTGGCTGGAGTTGGTGCTCCTGCCTGGGCGCCGGGCGAATGCTAGCGCTCCACCGTTGTTCTGCAGGGGCCCGTCGCTGTGGAACGATGCGGGGAAGGCGACTGGCAGGAAGGATTAAAGTGTAAACACACAAACAAGGTGCAGGCCCGGAATAGAGAGTATAGGCGTTTCAAATCAGCTTCTCCAGCTCTTGTTTTATCGGCACACTGAACCTGTCGCACACATCGAGAGCGCTGCAGAATTTAAACCGTGGAAACGCAACATGTTAGTGGCAGAAAGAAAAAGCTGCGTTATCTGAGGAAACTATTTGTAAAGATTGCTCTTTAAACTGGCGACAAGGTTAAAATCGACCTTCGCCCATTGGATGGTACTAACTTAATCAATTATTTCTCCTTTCTTTGTATTTTTGAGGTGTCGTGCTGAAAACCTGTGTGCAGAATCATTTGACTTGGGAACGGAAGCTTTATATAAGAAAGCTAAAAAATGTAGGTGCCTGACAAAACTGGGGAAAGATGGAAAAGCTTTTTAAAAGTGTTACGGAAGCTCGGCCTGAAAAAACATATGTGACGGTTTCCAGTATGGAGGCGCTGAAAAGGAATCAGGTACCTGTGGTGATTCCCTCTTATTCTATCAAGAAGCCTCAGTTAAGATTTAATCCCCAATTTAAAGGACACAGGATTAACTGGCATTGTACTGCAGCCACTAATGTGTGTGTGTGTGTGTGTGTGTGTGTGCGTGATGAAGGTGTGGCAGTGTGGCGGCAGCGTGGAGGTCCTGCCCTGCTCGAGGATCGCGCACATTGAGCGCGCCCACAAGCCCTACACAGAGAACCTGACGGTGCACGTGCGTCGTAACGCTCTGAGGGTGGCGGAGGTGTGGATGGACCAACACAAGAGTCACGTCTACATGGCCTGGAACGTTCCACTGCAGGTGAACACACACACACACACACACACACAAACACACACACGTGTTGCATTCTGTGCTTTATTCTGTGCGTGGGAGGATGTGTGTGGGCATAATTGCACTTGTGGTTATTTGTGCTCAGAATCTCTAAGCAACTGTGACTGCTGCCATCACAGAGGTCACAGTGAGTCACAGGAGCGTGAACGAGGTTTGAAGCAGATAGTTTTGATGTGAATGAGACGGAAGCAAGAAAATGATGGAGTCTCTTCACGTGTGCAGCACTCAGCAGGAGAGGAAGCTTTCACAACAGCCGGACGATCTCCGGAGCTTTCAGGCAACCGGGGTTCCAGCAGGAGGCAGAACGTGACGTATGAATTCAGCTGCAGAGTTCACGTGTTCTTTTTTTCTACGTGCACGGCTTCTCTTATTTCATCCTGAGATATTTGTCTCTCGCTGTGAATCCTCCAGATAATGTCCTGCTTTACTCTCACGAGCTCACGGGACATTATCTGGAGTTTTTACTCGGGAGAAACTCTGTAAAGTCTGTGTATCGGACATTTCCTCTGAAAAAGAATCAACACGCAAAGAACAGAGGTGAAAACATAACCTCCTCAGTGGAGGTAAAAACACCGGAGGAAAGAAAAACTGATTTAAAAACTGTGACTCTCGGCTTCTCTGTTACTTGTTATTCTTACTTCAGATGAGGTTGACATTTACAAAGATGTCCACACCACTTTTTATTTCTTAGAACTTGCCCCAAGGAATCCTGGAGTGAACAAACAGTTTTTCGCGTCACTTTAAATCTTTCATGTGTCAAACGATCGATCGTGGTGAAAACAGGTTCGGTGTGTTGCTGTCAGTCGTTTGTTTTCGGGGCAGATCCCTGAGGCTCAGTTCAGCTCCATCCACACACAGTCTCTTTTCAAGCTTCCACTGGGACTCGATGCAAAAAGTGTCTTTAAAGTCTTTTTTGTTCAACCAACAGATTTGGTGACTGAGGAGGTTTTTAAAAAACACCGGCAGCTTTTCCTCACCGGAGATATTTGTTTTCTCTGCTTCCTCCTTTCACTTTGTCAGTTGTTTAGTTTGTTGGTTTGTATTTTCAGGAAAATGACTCGAAAGCTGCTGAACGATTTCCACGAAACTTGGTGGGAAAGAAAATTGTTTCCGATCCAGGAATTTCTTTTTCACTTTCTTTTACGCTAAGAGAACCGATTTGTTCGAGTGTGTGAGAGTTGGTGCAGATTTAGCAGATTTAAATGTGTGCGCTGATCGGACGTATAGTTCGATACCACCAGCGTGCATCAGCCCTAAGAATGTTTTGAGTATTTATTATGTTGCGTACTTATACGTTCTGTTCTGTGTGTTTACACCGGAGATCAGACAGAAACAGCATTTTATTCCCGTCCATGTCCTGTGGCAGGATTGACAGATTGTTTATTATACTAAGTGTTCGTTTGTGTTTGGGTTTATTTCCTTTCTCCAGAACTCGGGAATAGACATCGGGGACATCTCTGAGAGAAAGGCCCTGAGATCCAGACTCCGCTGTCGACCGTTCAGCTGGTTCCTCTCCAACATCTACCCCGAGCTCCGGTCCTACAGCAACACAGTCGCCTACGGAGTGGTGAGTTTCACTGGATCTAATCCAGGAGGCCACAGAGGGAAGTCTGGATCCCACCTCACAGTTTAGGAAACACCACAAACTGTGCGTCTCCACTCTGTCCCCTCTGGTTGTTACACACTGAGAGAATCTCCTCCGAGCAGAGCATTAAGTATTCAGCAGTATTTTAATTCATTATGAAATAGGAACAAGACTCTCTTTTAGCTTTATCTAAAATTAATAAGCTAGGCCTTTGTTGTGGCAGCTTAAAACCAACGAGTCATAAAAACGTGTTTTCATGGTTTGTTTTTTTCTCTTTTCTCATTTAAAAGAATAATCTATGAAGACCTTTAATTACAACCTCACACAATTCAGGTTATTCTTTTATTTAGATACACAAACACCATCAGCTCATAAAGTTACGAGGAGCAAACTGTTGCATGTCCAGCGGACACAGAGCCGAGCTGCTTCTGCACACGTGTTGCTGCACTTTTATCTAGAAACTATTTTAAATTATAAATATCTCTTCAGTCGTATTGCACAACACTTTTCTAGTGTTTCAAACATGTTGCACAATCTGATATTCAGATATTTTATATTTTCTGCTCTGGAATCTCCTTGTCTTTCCAAGTGGACGTCTTCGTCTTCTACGAGACATTTGTGTTCTCTCAGTTTCATCATCATCGCTCTCTTAACTCCTCTTCCTCTCATTCATTTAAAGTCACGTCCCCATAAACATGCCCTTGTGCTGAAACTTTTCCATTAATATTTAACTTTAAGTATTTCTACCTTTAAAATTTCCACTTTTCCATTAAGTCTGATTGAGCAGGAGAGCTCGTGATACCTGCTGCAGTTGTAAGGGCTCTTTTCACATCACAGCAGCGAGGCCGTGAGAGGACGAGGCTTTTTACGCCACTTAACTTCAGCGTGGTTCCTCCTCTTCATCAGCAGAACGCAGTGGGAGGACTTTTGTATATTTAAAAAGAAAAAAAAGCAACAGGAGCCAGAGCAGAATTATCCCAGTGAAGGAAGAAAAATTAAACCACCTCACCAATAATTTAATAATTAAATTTTAGATTGGGATTGTTGTCTTTTATAACCTTTCAAAGAGGAGAGCAGAATCACTTTGAGTCGTGTCTTCTCTGAACTCTCAACTTTCTTTCTCTTCGGCCTTTCTGACTCTGCATGACTTCAACTCTTTCACTGAAGAGAATGAGGGGAACGGGAAAATTGAATTGATGGATGAAAAAGAGAGCGGCGTGATTCCGCTCAGACATCAACAGCAGCAGCAGCAGCAAACGAGGCTCGAGCTCGGAGATCAGCCTCGGCGCCACCTCTCGTGTTTGTTGTTAGATAAACACTTCACTCACACTGCGAGCTGGATGGAGCTATTTGTTGACGGGCGTGTGTGCGGGGGCTCGGCTCCGAGTGTGCGAGATGAAAGCGATATCGCAGCAGCATCTGAGAGATGTAGATATGAAGTTTACATGCTCGACAGAAACAAGCTCTCACAGGAGATGGGAGTTGGAGAGAGTACAAGTGTTCTGGTGTGATACCATCTGTGGATGCTGTTTATTCATCCCTCTCTTCCTTAAAGCCAGACAGAAGCTGCAGGAACGCTCCGCACGCACAAGGTAAATATTGAACAAATAGACATATTCTGATGAGACGCCTCAAGCTGTTCCAAATGAAACACAAACTGTTTTCACACCTGGAGCTGGAGTTAAAAATACTGAAGACAAGTTTCCCCTCGTTCCCTCCAGACTCCACCAACCACACAGTCTTTTTTTAACTGTTCATCAAAATGATTTCGACTTGTCATATTTAATCAATTCATTGGATGGTCAAGTTATTTTTATTCCCAGAACAAAAAAAATTAAAGAGGACATGAGGTCAAGTTTTTATTTTACAACTATTTTTGTAATGTCAGGAATCTTGTTATAATTCAAGCAAAGGGGAAGAATCGTCGAGCAGCGTCGTTCACTCCACCATTTTGTTTTAGACCACAGTCTGTCATTAAAGACGGACGATGTGTTTCTGACTCCAGCTGATTCACAAAATCACAAAGCGTCCTCGGTGCCACCATCTTGATTTGGATCGACAGTCTTGTGTGGTGGAGCCGAGGTGTCGGAGTCCTACTGGTACTCACGCTCAACCGATCATGAGGCAATATGATTGAAACCATCTTTGAGAATGTGTCCACTTCCTGTCTGCGATGTGTCCACTTCCTGTCTTCACTCTGCTGTTGTGCCCTTGAGCAAGACTCCGCAGCCCGTCCAGCGCCACGACTGCTGCTTTGAACAAGAGCTGCGTCTGACTCTCTATGAAATGGGGCAAAGAGGGAAGAGAAATTCCCTCCGGGGATTAATAAAGTATCAGGTTATTGAACCGGTGTAATATGTGTGACAGCAACTTGAGATATTTGCGGAACAGAAAGCTCAGCTCGATGGTGAATCAGTGGAGAAACTCCCACAGGACGGAATGTGATGTGACTGCAGAGGAGCGTGGAGGTGCTGCAAAGAGACAAACTGTTCCGCAGATGGAAAACCTGCTATCTATAGGCTATGTAAAAGAGATTAGTAGAAAATGAAGATCTCCCCTCCCTTCACTCATCATAAACTCCAAATATTGCTCCTCCAGGACTCGGTTTAATGTGAGTTTGCTCCCAGCAGAGTTGCAGCCAATTAGTATTTTCAATCACCTTCTTCCAGTATTTAGCTCACGTCTGTGAGCAGCGGTGACGCAGAACAAGGCTCAGACTGCAGCTCTTAAAAAAAATAAACAGGCATTTCTATTCAAATCACCTCTTTGTAAAGGTCACTTGAATGGCGTACTTAAGATGGCTGCCACAGGATGTTTACTACGCTGCGTGAGTAAAGGTTCCGAACGTGAGGCTCAGAAAGCTGAAGCACAACAGATCCTGAACTTTCCGAAGGCAGCTTTAACATTCACCTCTTACTCTGAATCCGTCTGTGAATTCCAGGAGCTGAAACAAACCAACAGGCTCCAGCCACTGGTAAAGCTGAGTGAAAGAATTTACCATGTTCAGGGTCGTCATTTTAATTTTCACTTGAACGGACTTTCTTAATTAGTCATGAACTCCAGAGAATGTCCCCATAATTCTGAGTTTATCTGCCCAGACACAACAACACAGAAGTCTCCGGCGTGTTCAGGTGAGGGGTGGGGCTGCAGACGGCGGGTTTAACGTAACGGGTTAATTCCGGTTCAGAGATCACATGTTGACATCGGCCTCCGTCACTCAAAGCTCGCACGACAGCGTCGTTTGTGTCTCGTGCGTGTATGTCGCAGTTGTGTGTCTGTCGTGTGTTAGAAACATCATCAACACAGCCGCTCACTGTGAATCTTGTTGTTTCATCACGTAGACACATTCAGTTTTTTCTGCGTTGTCACGTGCAGCTCGTCAGACGAATGTCAGGAGATTATGCAGAGTTTAGTGTTGTCCATTGCTGCAGCTCCTCATTTCAGCCTCTGTCACTCGGCTCTGACAATATTCTCGTACAGTGGAAACAGCTCATATTGATCACGTTTGTTGATCACTAAAAAAGAATTGCGTAGCTTCTCTATGTCCCAGGCAGGTCGGAGCAGGTCGGGTTCGGTTGTTGAGGTTTGTCTGGTTCTTTAACATCGACACTCGAGAAGAACTCTGATGTTTCTCTGTGACAGCTGACGCACTCAATAAACTTTACCTTCAACTTCAATGTTCACATCCAACATTTGAAATAACTGCTAATGTTCCAAGAAAAATCAGTTAACATCATTAAAAATATTAAATTTAACTTCTTTCACGTATTGTAAATACATTCAGGGTCAGTCGACTTGAAAAGCAAAGATCTGGGTTGTGAAGGAAATTGCAGCGGTTTTGCCAAAGTGGAACAATTTCATCCTGAATGTATCTTCGCGTCATCGATTTTTCATAATGGACGTCTTCCCATTCAGCTCGAGCTGCACACTTGACATCTGACCTTCTCTTGAAACTGCCTGACAACCTGCAAACTGAGATATTGATGGAAAAAGACTCAACCGTCGAACAGTATTCTTCTTTTCCACGATCTGGGTTTCACATACATAAGGAAAGGTTTCTGCGAGCTGATGCACTGAAATAGAAAGATCGCTGTGTGTTGAATATCGGACGATTGGTCCACGTTTCTCGGTGGGATAGCGTCAGATTAAAAGAATAAGCAGCAAACGAAATGTAGAGTTGTTTTTTTTGACTTTCTGAGCTTCTGTTCTGAAGCTGCCGGGAGAGGTGAAGGTTAGTCTCATGTGTTTGTATGACTTCCCCCGGGCAGGCAGTAATTAGCCGGCAGTGTTCCCATTTGTCTTCACTTTAGCCACTCGAGTGAAGCTGTGTAGTGCACCACTCTGTCATAATGGCTTAATTAATAATGTAGAAGTGGAGATAGAAGGATGGATAGAGTGGAGGGAGGAGGAGAGGTGCAGAAACATGTCTCTGTATACGAGGCATCGGAATAAAACACTATGCTAATGTGTCTGTGTATCGTGTGGGCAGCTGAGAGTCGCATAACTTTAACAACCCACGACGGTTCATTCGGGGTCCGGCAGCAGTTTCATACTGATATTCAGTTATTTTAAAAATTGTTGGATTGCAGCATTTTTCTTTAATACACTTGAGAAAATCACCAGTTGTGGTTTTGTTGGATCGTTTGATTCGTGAAGAGAGCAGTCGGTTTAAACACCTCCAGTGGACGACAGCGTGTGAGAGAGTAGTCCTGCCTTCGTTAAAATCCATCTTGTATCATAATTGCAGCTACATCTAATCAATTGTCCACAGTAACGTGCTGCCCCTTCCTCATCTCACAACCTTTCTCTCTCTCTGTGATCTTTCCCAGTTGAAGAACAGTCTGAGAGACGACCTGTGTTTGGACCAGGGACCTGACTCCGACAACGTCCCCATCATGTATCTCTGTCATGGGATGACTCCGCAGGTCAGTGGCCTCCATGCTCTGTTCTATCTCAACTCTTCAACGACGTGAAAGATAAAGCAGCAAAGATGTTACGAGAGGTGGTCGAGGATTTAGAGAAAGAAACCGATGCAGAGAAAAGTGACTCTTCATTCTCTGCAGAAGGTTTTTAAGACTCAGACACAATCTGTGTCTGTCCACAGATATCATTTAGATATTATAACCATCATCATTGAAGCTGCACGATCAGATTTCAGAACAAGATGGAGACACGATATCGGCCTGTTACCGCCCGCGGTCAGAAGCATTAGCATGTGACCGTGTCCACATGAGGAATAATCGTCCAATAGTCTTTCTGCTTTTAGCTCTGGTTTGGTCTCTGTTCACTCCTGAGGGAAACATCTGGCTCCTCAGCTGCTCCACGATGTTTCCCAGAGAGTTGTTCGTTCAGTCTGTTGTTCGGTCCTTTGACAGTTTGAGCGCAGGTGTAGGTCAGTGGTTAGTTTGTTGAATGTATAGTGTTGAACAGGATCTTCACTTGTGACTGACTAAGATGGAAGAAACATTGAGGGAGCAGAAAACATTTTTTAATTATTATTAGTCGTAGTAGTAGTAGTAGTAGTAGTAGTAGTAGTAATATTAATAGTAGTAGTAGTAGTAGTAGTAGTAATATTAATAGTAGTAGTAGTAGTAGTCGATTTTGGTTTCTATTTTACCAGAGGTTTAAACTCGAAGCTAAAAATCACAACAAATCCCCAAATGTCCACAAAATGAACATTGGGACTTCCTGTCCTCCGTCTCTATGTCAAACTATGTTACTGCACCTTTGAATCTTCCGGTGCAAAGAGGAAATGACCCTGTTCGTGTGGGAGCTGATGAAACTGAGTCGTTTTGAGTAAATGTGGAGACTCAGTAACGTCGAGCTTTGTGCGTCTGTAATTTACATCAATAAGAGTCACATCTACACTCTGAGTAGCTGCTTAATTAAAGCAGAGATCTAGAGGCAAAGTAAATAACCGATCCGTCCCCAGGCTGTAATCATAATTATGAAGCTGTTTGTCATGTGATGTTTTGGTCGTCGGGTGAAACTTTTTATGCTTCTGCAGCTGAAGGATGTAAAAGTGACTCTGAGGCCGACGGACAGCTCTATCAGCCCACTGCACATTTAAGGTCATGTAATTTAAGGGGCAGTAAAAGTCTGCACTTATTACCTCTTTAATGGAGGAGCCGAAAAACACTTTTAACAGCCAGGGAGCGTGGCTGTGCATTTCCAATATTTACCACTTCGAAAAGCTCCGTTGCTTCACAAAAGAAATCGTATTTAAGTGTCTGCATCGAGCCGGACTCCTCGACACATGGAGCCCGGCATTAAGAGTGAGGTCGCCCCACGCCTCGCCCCCGTCGTCAGTCGGTTAATAACTCTGACCGGAGCCTGGATGTGCGAGGCGGGTCGTGTTCATCACTACAGCCTCAGCTGCTGGAACCGCACGATAAACAAAATGAGTTGATATTTGTTTTATTAAATTGGATTTATTCATTCAAATGATTCACACTTCAATGTTTTTCTTGAGCCGTGAACTAAATTATACAACTGTTCTTTGATGAAATTCATTGATTCTGTACATACATTGAAAAAGAAAATCTACATTCATGGGTTGAGCATGATGGACAGTGGACAGTGGACCGAGACTTTCATTCACAGTCGGACAAGTTTCTAATTTCATAGAGATCGAACGATTCTTCACACAAAACACAAACAGTGATGCGTCCTCCTTCAACAGTGACCCGTGAATACAGGTGAAGTAAAAAGCTGAAGGTGTGGGTGAGGGTTAGATTCAACATATTCACATTAAGACTCTGATTTCAGATATTAACAGTGAACAAAGTGAAGCCTCTGGGCCGGTTCTCCTCCTCCGGGACGCATAATTATTCTTTATTATCTATTTATTATGAGACTAATGTGTTAAAGATCCGATGGTTTGGGTCTTAAAATTAATATTTTAAGACGAAGGCAAGTTCAAAGCCGAACACGAGCTTCTGCAGTTGGTGTGAATGAAAAATGCAATAGAGATATTTTCAGCTGTTACTGTAAACGCAGCGCAAATGACAAATGAACATTTGTTCGCTCATATTTATGTATGAATTCCAGCTCACTTAAAAAAAAAAACTGCGAGCAGTAATTTACCCACAGTGCACTGGAACACGTCTCAAGATAACAGAGGAATTTGGGGGTTTTACCAGGATGAGTCAAGATAGGAGCAGAATATCATTACACAGAGCGGGACTAATCACTTTACAGACTCCAGATATTTGGGCTCGTAGAATAAGAGCTGCACATGCATACATTACACGGCACATAAAAGTTATTATCTGCCCTGTACCTGCTGCAGCGATCATAGAGGGATTAGAGAGCGTTCGAATATAATGGATGATTCGTGGTCTTTTCTCTATTAGCCTAATGAAATTTCAGGCCTCGGTGAGTAGAACTACACAAACTGACGCAGAGAAACGAAACCGATCCACTGAACTTGCAGACTGATCTCAGACCTCCTGGTGAATGCCAAGAGGATGCCGTGCGTTAGAGACATCAGCGACGTGCAGCCTTCGGAGGCCGAGCGGGAAGCAGCGGGAACCGCTTCATAGCCGACATCAAAGTCTCAGATATTCCTCTGGTCCTCAAACGTGCCTTTATCGCTTTTCATTCTTTATCCTTTATTCATGTGGAGTGTCTTTTGTGATGTTATTCCCCCCAGTCTTTTCTTATTCCCCATTCAGATCCTTTTATTCTGATTTGTCAGATCCCTCAGATTACCTCCCAGTCTCCCCCCCACCCCCGTTCCTGTGTGTATCCAACAGAATGGACGGATGTGGCTCTGAATACCTGATGAACTGTTGAATGTCAACGATGCACAGCGTTCCTCGTTTTACTCTTTCAGCCGCTCGCCACAGACGCAGGGAGGGAACCATTATTTGCATCCTTCACCGCACGAAGGATGCAAATAACAAGAATAATGCACTTTATTTCTAAAGCGCCGTTCAAGGCCGGACCTACAAGGTGCTTCACACAGTACGACGCAATATAAGTGCAAAGATAGCGAGAGAAAGGGGATGAAAAGAGAACATTGCACATAAAAACAGGGATTTCGAGAAGAGACGGGGATAAAAAGAAAGATAGAAAAGAACAACATGAGAATGATGCAGTATAATAAAAGCACCAGTCTGCACAGGTGGGTTTTTAAAAGCCTTTTAAACTCAGGCTCTGACTCAGCTCTTCTAATATAAGAGGGAGAGAGACGTAGAGATAGAGAGAGGGAGAGAGACAGAGAGAGGGAGAGAGA